AGGACTTCTCCAAGATAGCAGTGCCGCTCACCCGACTAACAAGAAGTCGGTGGTATTTCGTTGGGGGCCTAAGCAGCAGGCGGCGTTCGAGACTCTCAGACAGAATTGTGCGAGGCTCCGATCCTTACCTTGCCAGAGGGAGTAGAGGACTTCGTAGTCTATTGTGATGCTTCGATCACAGGTATGGGGGCAGTATTGATGCAGCGAGGCCATGTGGTAGCTTATGCCTCGAGACAGTTGAAGCCTCACGAGGCTAATTATCCTACCCACGATTTGAGCTGGGGGCAGTTGTGTTTGCCCTCAAGATTTGGAGACATTACCTTTATGGGGTCCGTTGTACTATTTACACGGATCACAAGAGTTTGCGGTATCTTATGGATCAGCCGAGTCTGAACATGAGGCAGAGGAGGTGGTTGGACGTGCTGAAGGATTATGATTGTGAGATCCTTTATCATCCGGGAAGGCCAACGTAGTGGCCGACGCCCTAAGCCGCAAAGTGTCGGCGGCCCCTATCAGAGATCTGTGTATGAGGATGACAGTGATCACTCCGTTGTTGGAGCGGATCAAGGAGGCTCAGATGGAGGGTCTCAAGGAGGAGAGGCAAAAGTGTGAGAGGATAGTGGGCCGAGTAGCTTCGTTTGATTATGACAGTCGGGGTTTGCTGACGCTTCATGGGAGGGTGTGGGTACCGTACTGGGTGGAGTACGGCAGGTATTGATGGACGAGGCTCATAAGTCTCGTTTTCTATCCACCCAGGGGCGACGAAAATGTATCGAGATCTTCGACCTGATTATTGGTGGCCCTGCATGAAGCGGGACGTCGCTTGGTATGTTGAGAGATGCTTGACCTGCCGGAAGGTCAAGGCGGAGCACCAGAGACCTCACGGCAAGATGCAGCCGTTAGACATTCCCGTGTGGAAGTGGGAGGACATCACCATGGATTTTGTCACCAAGCTCCCCAGGACCGCACGTGGAGTGGATTCGATATGGTAGTAGTGGATCGGTTGACGAAGAGTGCCCATTTTATTCCGATTCAGGAGAGTATATCGGCGGAAAAGTTAGCCGATATCTATGTGCGAGAGATTGTGGCACGTCATGGAGTGCCGGTATCGGTGGTGTCAGACCGAGATGTCCGTTTCACATCCAGATTCTGGAAGCGGTTCCACGACGAGATGGGTACTCGTCTCCATTTCAGCACCGCTTTCCACCCTCAGACTGACGGGCAGAGCGAGAGGACGATTCAGACTCTTGAGGACATGCTTAGGGCATGTGTTCTAGATTTTGGGGCAGTTGGGATACGTATCTTCCGTTAGCGGAATTCTCGTATAACAACAGTTATCATGCGAGCATTGATCGACCTCCTTTTGAGATGCTGTATGGGAGGAAGTGTAGGACCCCGATTTGTTGGGGCGAGGTCGGTCAGCGAGTCATCGGGAGCACAGAAGTGGTGCTCAAGACGACTGAGTTGATCCAGCAGGTCCGTAGTAGGCTGCAGACTGCGCAGAGTCGGCAGAAGAGCTACGCCGACAGGAGGCGTTCGGACTTGGAGTTCCAGGTGGGAGATATGGTCCTTCTGAAGGTCTCACCTTGGAAGGGTGTCATCAGGTTCCGGAAGAGGGGCAAATTGGGCCCCAGATTTATTGGTCCTTTCAGGGTTTTGGCCCGGGTGGGTCGGGTTGCTTATCGGTTAGATTCTTCCTGAGGAGCTTAGTCAGATCCACAACACCTTCCATGTGTCTCAGTTGAGGAAGTGTTTGGTGGATGAGTCAGCAGTCGTTCCCCTAGAGGATATTCAGGTTGATAGCAGCCTGAATTATATTGAGAGGCCGGTCGCGATTCTGGACCGGAAGACCAAGACCTTGAGGAACAAGGTAATTCAGTTAGTGAAGGTGCAGGGCAGCACCGGAAGGGGTCTGAATGGACGTGGGAGGCTGAGGAGGAGATGAGAGCGCACTACCCGGAGATATTTGCAGATTCAGCCGTAGCAGACTTCGAGGACGAAGTCTGAGATAAGTGGGGAGAATTGTAACGACCCGTTTCCGGTATGTTAATTCCTTGGTATTTGTTTTGAAGTTTTGCAAGAGGGACTCGGCGAGTTCATAGCCTGACTCGCCGAGTAGGGTCGGGGTTTCGAGCACGTGTTAGCTGGAGACTCGGCGAGTCCATATTCCGGACTCGGCGAGTCTGTCCGTCTGGGTGAAACCCTAAATCCCCGGGTTGCCCACTATTTAAGCCACCTTATGGCCCTCATTCTGCCTCCTTCACCCTCAGAAGCTGTGAGAAAAACCCTAATTCATCCTTGAGTGTTTGTAAGTGATTTTGTGTGCATTTGTGAAGGTTTGAAGAAGGAGAAGAAGAAAGGAGCAAGGAGAAGGAGTGTAGAGCGAGATTCAAGGGAAAGCAAGAGCTCTTTGAGGTATTCTTCTAGTTTCTTTCCCTTTTTATGCTTAAAAGCCCTTTTTAGATCTAGTTGATGCCTTTCTCAAGCCTTATGTTGATATGGAAGCCTTATCATGCCGAGATATCTTTAGATCTGTGTATTTAGGATTTGTAGAGCCCAGATCTACTGCCTTTTTGGAGCTATTTTGCATATTAACCCTAGATCTACCCCTTTTATGCATCTTTTAGCCTTTATTCCCTTGTTCTTGTGTTTGTGCACGTAAAGTTGGAAACTTTACGTGGTAAACCAGCTTATTGGACTCAGATCTATCATTTGTATGTTTTGGATTCGAGCAGAAACAAGTGTAGAATAGTTGCATGGCGGTGACTCGGCGAGTCGGAAGAACGACTCGGCGAGTCGAGTCGCGAGTCCCCAATTCCTTCCTATTGAGCGGTGTCTGTCGTGTGGGACCAGTGAGTAGTACGGTGGACTCAGCGAGTTGAGGGTAGACTCAGTAATGGAGGGACTCGGCGAGTTGTTCATACAACTCGGCGAGTCCAAGGCAATCTTCTTAAGTTCAAGAACAACTCGTCGAGTTGTTCATATGACTCGACGAGTCGGATGAAGATTGTCTGAGTTCTTGGATCGAGAGGGTACTCGTCGAGTCGATGCCATACTCGACGAGTAGCAACGAGTAGGGTTGAGGTGTGAGAGTAGAGACTCGGCGAGTTGGCGGCCCAACTCGGCGAGTCAGGTCAAATGAGAGTTGACTGTGACCAAGGGTAAAAGAGTCATTTTACCCAAGTGCAATGTTTAGTATTTGATTGAGTGTGTTTATGGACTTGTAGCCAGGGAGATACCGGAGCAGCAGCAGTTAGATTCCAGAGTCATACACTCAGCAGCCAGTTTACGAGGTGAGTTTCCTTCCAGTAGGAACGGGTCTAAGGCCACAATGTCGACCCGTTTAGTAGTAGTAGTTTCCGGACTTTGGTCCGATGCAGTTGTTAGTCTGTTTGATGCCTTCGTGGCTCAGACAGGATTTATGTGTTAAGTGTTATGGGCTACGGCCTGACGTAGTATGCAGTATATGAGTTTTTGATCATGTGTGTTATGCTATTTGAAATATGTTTTGCTATGCTATGCTATGCCCAGTCAATTCCGGACTTCGGTCCGATGCAGTTAGTTGCGGACTTCGGTCCGATGCAGTTAGTCCCGGACTTCGGTCCGATGCAAGGGACAAGGTCCCAGTCAGTTCCGGACTTCGGTCCGATGCAGTTAGTTCCGGACTTTGGTCCGATGCAGGGGACAAGGTCCCAGTCAGTTCCGGACTTCAGTCCGATGCAGCTAGTTCCAAACTTCGGTTTTTACGTCTCGTAGTGTCCTGCCGTTTTTGTCACGAAACTTCGACTGGCAATAACTTCTTCGTTATAACTCGGATTTTGGTGTTCTTTATATGTCTGGAATCCTTGTCACGACCACTACAACTTTCTTCGTAGATATCAGGTTTATCTAACATTTTATTTTTGACCCTTATTTTTATTATATCTTTATAACCAAGTATATAATCACACACTTCACATAATATTCAAGTAATTCATCTTTATTACTTCAAAATGAATTATAATGGTTGACATTGACTATTACATCATCGTACTACTGTTTTGTCCCGAAACACGGACGTTACACAAACCCACTATACATTTGGGAATGGTTTTCACTAATGAAGAACTAGTGAACAACCAATGAATAAGAGAGGAAGAGATAGATAAAAAGGCTTTTGTGATCTTTCGTGGTAGCCACCACTCCATAACACACCTACTATACTTTGGGGTGATGTTCATTAGTAGAAAACTCTTCTACATACGATCCAGATAGGATATCTACTTGTGATGAAGCCTCCATATGGCCTAAGAAGCTAAATTTGTATAAAAATGTGTGAATTGAAATAAGATGGAATTCTATCTATTAAAATGAAAAAAAAAATAAAAAAAATGACACCAGTATAATACTATGCGGGTTGGAAGGATGAATTATATCCGCCCATCATTGTACATTGATACATAATTTTCGAATCGACTTAAACGTACAAATCAAAAGTAATCTCCCTTACACTATTACACAAGCCAAATGGTTGGGGTGGTTGGATACCGACGGGGGAGAGTACGGGAATCCATGCCACCACAAAAAAGTTCTCGATTGTGGATTTGTGGCCCAAAATATGCCCCACGAAACATCATTGTAACTTTCGGTCACATCATAGCCAGCAAAAATTATTTACGAAATTGTAACAATATTTTTCACCTTTATACTCACAAACACAAGTTTTTCCTTTTAAACAAATCTTTAAAATTATGATTCATTTATAACTTCTACATTTGTAACGTATAAAAAACTATATTTTCTACCAAAGTTCCAACTGTAAACCAGAAGGAACATATAGGGACATATCACCTACTGAAAATTAAAAAAAAAACAAACCGAGTATGCCATAACATAATATTCCTTCATATCCCCTAATTTCTAATGCTTTCCTGCTGTCACACAAACCCTGAACCCTCTCTCATTTCAAAAGTATAAAACCCCACAAAAACCTCGATTTCCATACATCACCATCCACCACCATGTCCGCCGCCGGTGCATCCTTTCTCTTCCTCCTCCTTTCCACCGTCGCCGCCGCCTCCTCCTCCTCCATCACCACTCTCTCATCCGATATCGCCGCTCTGAAAGCCTTTAAATCCTCCATCAAACCCACCACTATACCTTCGTACACTTGTTTACACTCATGGGACTTCACCTCCGACCCTTGTTCTCCGCCACGTGTAACTCATTTTCTTTGTGGAGTAACCTGCTCCGGCAACCGAGTCACTCAACTCACCCTTGATCCTGCTGGTTACGTTGGAACTCTCTCCCCACTCGTTTCTCAACTCACCCAACTCATCACCATCGATCTCACCGACAACAAATTCTCCGGCCAGATTCCAAGTTCTCTTTTCTTTCTCCCGAACTTACAAACACTCAACCTCGGGTCCAATTCGTTCTCCGGCGTAATCCCGCCGTCGGTTTCTAATCTTAAAAATATTCAAATTCTGGATATTTCTCGTAATTCACTTTCCGGGTCATTGCCTAACACTTTGACTTCTCTCAGTCAGTTGACTCGCCTCGACTTGAGTTTCAATAAACTCACCGGACCGATCCCGGGACTCCCGAAAAACATCATCCAACTCGCGCTTAAAGGGAATTCGCTATCTGGGTATCTCCAGAAACAATCGTTTCAAGGGTTGACTCAACTGGAAACAGTCGAACTCAGCGAAAACTCACTCGCCGGAACGATTCCCGGGTGGTTCTTCCTCATACCTTCCCTCCAGCAAGTCAATTTAGCCAAGAACAGTTTCACCGGCGTTGAGATCTTCAAGCCAATCGACAGCGACCTCGTCGCCGTCGACCTTGGATTCAACAGAATCACCGGGTACCCGCCGACGAACTTCTCGGCGTATCCTATGTTAGCCTCCTTGACTTTAAGTTACAACAAGCTAAGAGGAAGAATTCCATGGGAGTACAGCAAGAAACCGACGTTAAGCAGGCTGTTTCTCGACGGAAATTACTTAATTGGGTTGCCGCCAAAGGAGTTTTTCTCCGGCAAGACGTCAATTTCCGGCAGCTTAGGGGACAATTGTTTGAAGCTTTGTCCGGTATCTTCGGAACTTTGCGTGAAATCGCAGAAACCTTTGTCGATTTGCAAGCAAGCTTATCGTGGGAAACTGAAACCGAAGTCATAAAAAGTCAGTTCATGTTTTTTCGCTTAAAATCCATAATTTTTTAGTTAGAATTAAATAATGATTTTATATTTTTTAATAAAATATATTAACTTTGTACGTATCATGTTCATGGAATCATATATTTTTTTATTTGTTTATGTTACTTCTGACTCAGATTATACAAGCTTATTTTATATAACAATAACATTTTTATATATACTTTACCGTTGAAAACTAACTAAGCAGTTCAGAGAAGATTCTATAGGTGGTGTATTTTTTCTTTAGATTCACACTAAAAGTTGATGTGATAATTATCGGTTCTAAAATTTTAGTTTAAAGTAACTATTTTGAAATTTGAAAAAATTAGTAATACATTCAAAAGGTATTTAACTATATAAAGTTTAATAAAACAGTAAATAAATTTTTTTCATTGAAAAAATTCCAATCTATTGAATGACAATTCTGCATCTTACCGAAGCTTTTGGTTGTAGGGGTGTTTCCCAAAGGAGCTTATTAACGATTACATGACATTATAATCTAACAAAATGTTCTAATAAAATAGCTTATAGCAGTGATAATTGTTAATAAATATTTTTTATAAGTTATCTTACTCTAACTTATTAACGTATTATTATAAACTAGTATTGTTATAAACTAATAAGCGAATAATAATAATAATAACATTTTTTTTGTTTTTTTGCAAAACTCCCCTTTACTATTTTCCGGTTTGTCGCCAAATATAATTCAATATTGTGTAATATTGAAATTTTGATAAGTGTCACTTTGAGATTTACAAACTAGGGAAATAACTAAGGGTATATCTTCAAACACTATTCTTTATAGGTAATTTAAAATATTAATACGTTTATGTTTACTAAAATTAAAAGTTTTATGTCAATATGTAAACATTAAATATTTTTAATATCTATTTCATTTCAAAGTTTAACAAAATATATTTAATTATATCTCAATTTTAACAATATTGTTTTATAATATTTCATTATTTTAATTTATGTAACAAAAAATATATAACAAATGATTTTAGTCGTAAAAAAAAGCTACTTATTATTGAATTTATTTTACATATAAAACAATAAATATTTCATTAATTATAGTATTAATCTATACATTTAATATAATAAATATTTTACGTATATAATAATAGAGGTGTTAATTAGTAGAACTGGTTGATTTTTTATGAAAAATAAAAATAAAAATAGCACATAAAGACATACGGAATGTAAGTAATTCAAAAATCTCACATAATAACATGTGACAAAAATCTATAAAACTATTTTTATTTATTAGAATAGATTATTTTATATATTATCCTAATATTAAATGCTTTATTAATTATAAAGTTGATCTACACATTTAATATAATAAATATTTTACATATATAATAATAGAAGTGTTAATTAGTAGAATTGATTAATTTTTATTAACAAAAAAATGAAAATACCGTATAATAACATGTAGAATTTAAATAATATTAAAAAAAATTCACATAATAACATGTGACAAAAATATTCAGAAATTGACAAGTGGTAAAAACATTTTCATTTATTTTGATAGATTATTTTATATAATATCTTAAATAATAAATGTTTCATTAATTATAGTGTTGATCTACACATGTAATATATTAAATATTTTACATATATAATAATAGATGTGTTAATTAGCAAAATTGATTAATTTTCTATTAGCAAAAAAAATGAAAAAACCTCATAATGACATATGGAATTTAAGTAATTTAAAAATCTCACATAATGACATGTAGCAAAAATCTTGAGAAAAACTAGGGATGAGCATCGGAACCGGGTACCCGTTTTTTGAACCGGAACCGCCTCGGAACTGCCGGTTTTGGGACGGAAACCGCCTTAGGCGGTTCCGGTTCCGGTTCCTAAAGTTATGGAACCGCCTTAAGCGGTTCCGGTTTCGGTTCTCGTTTTTTCGGAACAGCTACCCGCTGGGTACCCGCCGGAACCGGTTTATATATATATATATATATATATATATATATATATATAATTTCATATAAAGGTGTGTTACTTAGACCAGTTTAAAATATATTGGTATGATTTTGTCCGTCTTTGGTCCGAATTGATTTGATTTAGATCGAACTAAATTGTGGTTTTGTCAAAAAAAAGTTAACAAAATTAATGCGACCGGGTTACCCGCTCCCGGAACCGGAACCGCCGGTTCCGGGACTGGTTCCAAACATTTAAGAACTCCCTAGAGTGGTTCCGGTTCCGATTCTAACTTTCTAGGAACCGCCGGTTCCGGTTCCGGTTTTCGCCAAATGAAGCGGGTACCCGCCTACGCTCATCCCTAAGAAAAACGACAAGTGGCAAAAAAATTTCATTTATTATGATAGATTATTTTAAATATTATCTTATATAATAAATGTTTCATTAATTATAGTCTTGATCTACGCATTTAATATAATAAATATTTTATATATAATAAAAGACGAGTTAATTAATAGAATTAATTAATTTTTTATTAACAAAAAAATGAAAATACCACATAAAAACATGTGGAATTTAAGTAATTCAAAAATCTCACGTCATGATATATGGCAAAAATTTTGAAAAAATAACAAGTAAGAAAAACATTTTTATTTATTGGGATAGATTATTTTATATATTACTATGTGTAAAACCCGTGTATTACACGGGTTGATTAAAGAAAATAAAATATTAAAATGTAAATAATAAGTAATTTTTAAAATAAAATTTTGAAATAAAGAATTAAGAAACATATTAATTGCAATTTATTATAATATTTATTTACATTTGATACGTTACATATATAAGTATACAATTATGTGGTAAAAAAAACATTTATTTATTAGAGAGAATCCTAAATAATAAATGTTTAAATGATTATAGTGTTTATCTACACATTTAATATAATAAATAATAAATACTTTATACATAATAATAGATGTGTTAATTAGTGCAATTCATTAATTTTTTATCAATAAAAAACTGAAAATACCACATAATGACATGTGTAATTTAAGTAATTTAAAAATCTCACATAAATGACATGTGACAAAAATATTGAGAAAATGACAAGTGACAAAAATTGTTAGGTCCAAAATATGGTTTATACTTTACTTTTATAGGAAAATTGTATTTTTGTATCTTGGACCGTAAACAACTTGGTGTTTATGGCCATATAAGTGTTTACGGTCAGTGTTTACGGTCGTAAACAGGTTTACGATCGTAAAGCCATTTACGACCCATGTTCACCAAGCCCATATTCTCCAAGTATAAATATAGGTGTAAGGTGTGAGGATTAGATTGATGAACGTGTGAGACATAGACTAGAGAGAGAAAAGAACTATAGTGTGTTAGTGTGTGTGAATCTCTTGTTTCCGGATCTTCATTCATATCAATATATACAAGAATCATCATCATCTTCTTCTCCTTCTCTTCTATTTGATCTGACATCATCCGTTTGATTGGGATTCCGCACCATCAAACGGATCTGATTGATATACATGCGTTTTGGGGACTTACAGCAGGGCGTACTAGGATTACGCTCAGCGTACGTCTAGACTTGTTTTTCCCACTCCCTTGGTCTTAAGTCGTTAAGACCATAGCTATACTCTCGGATTTGGACTCCCTAAACACTCATACTCGTTAAAGTTCATGAATTTAAGCCTTTGCATGGTTGATCAAGTCCCAAACACAAAAACTCTAACTCTTTACTCCCAAAAATGATCATATCTCATGCATTGGGTGGTTTTAACGTCCAAGACACCATTTTTATGATTATACTCCATTAAGAACACTCAAAGGTACATATATTAGGCTTTAGAGCTCAACAACTCATAAATCCTTAAGCTTTAGGACCAAAAACCCTAAAATGGACCATAATATGCACAAATCAAAAAGGATGAGAAGGCTTTGAGCTTTATACCTTACAATGATGTTCCAACCACAGAAAAACTCAGATCCAAAGCCTGGACTCCATCTCTATTCTCTTTAATTCTCCTTCTTCACTCCAAGGATACCACAAGAACAGTTATAGGCTCACAAATAGACACTCAAGCTAAAGGAATTGAAATTAGGGTTTTGAGAGAGTTACAAGTTCGTAACGGTGGCTAGAAATAAGGCCATCATGTTCCTTAAATAGGGACACAACCCTCGATTAAGGATTTCACTCTGAGCCTAATATGCCCAATGTACCCTCAGGTACGCCCAGCGTACTAGGTGGCCTCCGCGTCCAATTCACGCTCATGATTATGCTGAGTGTACACACGCGTACGCCCTGCGTACTTAGCTACCACCTTTTTCTCCATAAGGACTAAACTTGGAAAGACTTCTAACTATTATAACTTCTTTGTTATAAGTCCTTTTTCAACGAATCCTCATATCCATGGAAAGATAGCAAGAAGCCCTATGCTTCTAGTAACTCTTCGCATCCTCAAGGATTTCTCATGCCCGGGTTGCAGCCCATGAACTCTAAATCACAGACGATCTGAAACACGATGTTATAGAGATGATGAACCAAAATTCCTTCTCTGCTTCTTCAAAGCTTCAAATCACCAAAAGGGGCCCAAATATCAAATATGGAGGATTAAGGTTTCTTAAGGGTAGAATAGAAGTGATGGAAATTGAGGGTATGCAAACCTTAGCCTTACACTTTCCTTAAATAGGGGCCCAACCTTGAAATTAGGGTTTTTCATGCAAAAGCTGTCACATCGTAACCAGCATATGCATCATTTCATGATAGCCAATGATATGTGCGTTCCTCACCGGGAACCATCACATCGTAACACAATTATGTTCACATCATGACCAGGGTCTTATCCATCAAATTAATTGATAACTTAGAATTAATGCTTACCTGGAACTGAGCGTTCTAACTTAATTAATAAAAACATTAAAAACTTACAAAATTAATTCATAAAACTAATTAAAAACATAGAACCCAATTTGGTACAAGTTTTAAAGCATGGGGTACAACTAACTAATGCACAGAAGATTAGAGAGAGAATGCAA